GATGTGTGAAAGAAAATCTCCCCCCTACAATAAAAATTGAGGCAGGCAGTCTCTCTTTTCATCCTTTCAGAGCCTGACACTAAAGACTATCCGTTTTTGTACCTGTGCTACTACTGATAAAAGAATGCAGTATGGAACCTTGAACTAACAACTCTTTTAATACTATTCCTACAGATTCATCTGTTAGACCTGAAGGTGTCCCATGTCACTGAAAAAAGCCTAACAAAACCACTGAAAGCACCAAGCATGCAAGACTAACTCACTCAGCCTTGTTTGTTGAAGCATCCTAATTCTCCAGGGAGCCTCCAGTGTTCCTCACATTTTCAGCTACATGAAAGAAAAAAAGAGGACGTCTGATTACCTTCTCTGCTTGGCTCCAGAGCTCTGGGTCCCCCAAGAATTTCTCTGGTCTTGTGGAGAGGTTGAGTTTAAAAGTGAAGCCAAACACGTCATACACAGCCCGCAGGAAGTTCAGGCAGCCCTTGATCTCATCCTCAATCTGGTGTCAAAAAAAACAAAATGTAACAGAATCTGTCATACAACTGGACATGGCTGTACATTTAATTTTTGGTGTAATAACTAATTTCATTTCTGCATTGCTAAAGAATGACATTCTTTGATGTAATCATAAGATGATCCAATATTTTTCTGAAAAAATGCTCAGTTTTTGTGGATAATAAAGCCACTTAGAAGCCTTTAATCATAAGTGTGTAACGTGTTGCTACCATGTCCCTGTGGGGCAATCGTGCACTTCCAACCCATGTGATCAACGACAAGGTTTTAGCAAGGAGTTTAAATGCGAAAAAGGATATAACACACTATGAAGGACTGAAGTAAATAATCACATACAAAAAAGTCTAAACTTTATTTTTTTATAATTATGAACTTAACAGCGACTACAGGGTAAGAACATATCCTCTCCTCCTTTGAGTTAGCAGATAATAAAAATCAGTACTTTCCAGCTTTTGCAAAGAAAGCGAAAAATTACAAGTGAAATACTTTGTGTACAAAGTGCGACCAAGTGATTAATCATCAGATCATTCCAATCCACTGCCATTGCTGGTGAAAAACAATAAGTGGGATCCTGGCTGTTAATTGCCGTGTCACTACATTAGAACAAAGTAATTAAGAACAATCCTGTTTGTGTGCATCAACACTGGCAGTGCTTGCTACATCAGGCTATAGCAGCTTGTTGAATGAGAATATGACACTGTTCACTGACAACATTAAGTGAATTTATTCAACATACTATCTCAGCAATGCACCGATATGCTGAGAGCCAAACCAGGATTTTTCAAACTGGTATAAATGATTCTCCACAGCCACTTCTCTGGCAACTGTGTGATAACTTGCTGCCGTTTGCTTTTTTTTGTCTTACCATTGTTTAACTTGGTTTGAAGTGTTTTTCTTGGCAATGTATCTCATGCAGTATTACCAGAAAAATGTGACAATGTATGAATCAAACCCTGTCTTAAAGAGAACTGCACATTTTCAGACTTGTGATAGACAGTTCAAGATACTTCTCTGCACAGGTCGGTGGAGATAATTGCCTGTTTATGCAGAGAAGCATAATTCTGCCATAATGCAGCCTCAAGCAGAGATGAGTAAGCTACCTCGATCTGGCAGGCTTACTTATTTTTGACTGTAAACCCCAGATTTTCTTGTTTCCCAGCCAGTGCTGACAAAAGTAACATCCTGTAACAATTTACTAGATGTTAGGCCATACCCTCTGGAGTCACAAAAGGCTATTAAAGTCAAATTTACTGGTCACTCCAAGCTCCCCCCACACCATCAGACTTGTGTGAACTTGGCTGAGTGAAGTCGGTGCATTACTGTGGGACTCACCTGGTCCATGGAGCAGAAGATGTGAGCATCGTCCTGCTGGAAGCGCCGGACACGGGTGAGGCCAGTTAGGGCTCCTGACAGCTCGTTCCTGTGCAGCACCCCAAAGTCGGCCATGCGAAGGGGCAACTCTCTCCAGGAGCGTGGCCGGTGATCAAACATTAGGCTGGTGCCAAACAGATAAACAGGCAGAGTGTAAAAACAAAACAAAAAAACCATCACAAAACAACTGCCAACATCAACCTAGAGTTATCACAATAAGCGAACTTTGCTCCAATACCTCAAAACCACTGTGAAAAACTGAATTCAATATTTAACTGACACTACAGTTTGCCAAAACGTGACTTTAAGCCAAATTTCCATTCCAGTGTGATTACCAGAGGAGCTGCCCACATGGATAGTACAAAGACTGGACCAGTAAAAAGGAGATAAAACATCTGAATACAAAGAGCTGCAGTCTTGCTCTGTATACTGCAATGCAGCATTCAGCAGTAAAATGAAATGGGTCACTCACCAACTGAAAACATGGCAAGTGCATCAGTCCATTACAAGCTGGGCTGAACTTGATGACAAACTACTGTAGCAGTGAAATATGACACTATTTCACATAGACTGAGTCAACAACTGATAACAAAACCCTGTGCAGGCTCTTATAAAGCTATTCAACCATGGCAAAACAATGCTTAATGGGTGGCCACGTTTGCCACTGTACAGTGATGAAAGCTTTTTTGTTAGCTATTAAACTAAAATTTGTACAAAGGTTGAAACACTGTTTTGTGATAACAGTACTCAGAGCTCATGTAATGTTCCAAGCACATTTAATGCTAGAGAAGAGCAAACAGCCTTGCATCCAAACACTGTGTCTATAATTACAGGCAGAAACCAACTCAAATATCTGTGTCACACAGGAGCATGTTTTGATACAGTGTGTAACAGAAGTGGGTGTTCTTTTCTTTACCCTTTGTGGTCATTCTTTTCTAGTTCCTAACTGATAATCAAACCATTCTTTCAAAACATCTCTGAATGTGAGGAAAAGGAGGCCTCACCAGTGTCCAGGGCAGTTCATGGGTTTGAGGGCAAAGGTCTCCTTCTCAACCTCAAAGGAGAACATGTTGTCACTGTAGTGCTGCCAGTGGCCGGAGGTCTGCCACAGTTTGCTGTTGTAGATGTTGGGTGTCACCACCTCCTGGAAACCCCTCTTTCTGTATTCACCCTGTCAAAGACAGAACAAGGTTTTTTCACAAAGAAGATGCCACATTTAATAAGACTGTTACCTCAAGAAAGTCAGCTTCATAATTTTGTGCATATACAATAAACTGCTTAAAGGATAAGGCAGATCAATTTCTATATTAATATTTTCAGCAATCTCCATACAGAGACAAACTGCCAATGAACTGCCTCTACTCATGGTTAATGCCTGTCAGTCTATGTGTGTTTCCCTGATGTGTTTTTAATCATTTTTGAACAACAGATCTATCACACAGATGAACAAGTTGATCCAGGACTGACATCTGACAGACATTAACCATGAGTAGACTCCAGTCATTGTCGGTTTTAGTCGCTGTATGAACGTTGCTGTAAGTACTATTAGTATAGAAAACGACCAGCCTCATCCTTTAAAATCTGCTTCTGTCAACACCGGGGGACTCACTCACAGGTACACATGGTCTAAAACATACGATTTTGAAAAAGCACCAGTGTTTACTGCAAGAGGAAGCAGGAAATCTGGAATGAACAGGCAGCAACTTACAGTGCTTTAAAACACCTTGGGTGACCTCTTTTGATATTAGTTTTAAAATTCGAACAGAAAGCTGATAGCAATAATAAAATCAAAGTGTTTATTTTACAGACCCAACAGTCATCAACACTATAGATATTCTGCCTGTTCAGTGTTGCTGCTTGCACAGGCAGAGCTGTTTTATTAACCTGATCTCATTACATAAAACCTCCTCAGTCAGAAATCCATTTTTCCAAATTAAAGATAAATGACTTCCATCATGCACTGTGTTGTGACTGCACTGACTGAAAACTGAGAATGTTTTAAAATATATTAATGTGTGGCTCTTAATAAGAGCTTTTCTTCACTGCTGCCGATCATGACCATTTGATGCATTTCAATTTATTCTAAATAAATGGGTATCAATAATAAGCTATTCTCAGATTCAGAATTGTTGACAAGAAAACTACACACAGAGAAAGGTTCCTCTATTATCTGACCCAAGATGAGAACTGTGGTATTGAACAAGCATATATTAGATGTCAACATCTAGTTACAGCATTGCTCTTTTGGGAAAAGGTGGTATAAGAATTAGCTTTTTATTGTATGTGCATGTATATGTTCACATTTTAAAATTATTATAGTCAAGACACTATAACATTACACCCAGCTCCTGGTTGCAAAGATATTGATTAGTCCTCATATCATGGCATAAAGCTCCATCATCAACATTTAACTATCATTTCACATAGATATGCAGCAACATATCTCATGATATATACATATACTGTATGTATATATCCCCCAGATCTCCCCGGGGACAAGGAAATTTAAACTTTCTACCTCAGAACCATCTGTCTTTTCTTGAGTCTCAAAGTATAGACTGAGATCACAGAAATTATTCTCTGTAGGCCAAACAGCTCTGACTTACTCTGATGAATTCAATCAGCGCATTGTAGATAAAGGCTCCCTTAGGCAGGAAGAAGCAGCTGCCTGGACTCAGGTCATGGAAGAAGAACAGATCCTGTTCCTGAAAGAAAGGGGAAAACAACTGGGTTTGTTAGTGTGATGGAAAATTGAAAGAGCAACCAATCAGGACAAACTGGTTTCAGTTTGAAATACAGCAACAGCTCATTACATGTAGTAATACGTACAATGTACTCTGTCTCCTGCTCGTGTTTTTCCACACATTAATTATACTGAATAACTGGAAACAGCAAACACTCCCTGAACTGTTAATTTCCTGTCAACAATGACGTTAAAGATCTTAAGTACATTGTTAATAAAGTGCATCTATGCTCCTTTATGACAGGTTAATTTTGACATCACTTAACATCTGAAACATTCATGGGTATGTTTTTTTTATGCCATTGTCAATATTTCTTTGACTAATAGATAAATTTGCAATACATGTAAATAACCTACTCTCAACAATTTGTTTACCATGTAAGTGACACTTTCAAGTGGTTGTCTTTGACAGTTTTAGTGGTCCCCAAAACCCGTTTGAAGACTAGGGGGGACCTGTCTTTTCAGGCTCTGGCTCCCAGACTCTGGAATGCGTTGCCCCTGTCACTGCGTATGGCCGAATCTGTTGGTGGTTTTATGAAGCAGCTGAAGACACATTTGTTTAGTCAGGCTTTTAGTTGATTTTATAGTTTGTTTTAATTTATTTTTATTATGGTTTTTATATATTATCTGTTGGTGGTGTTGGCATATTGTTGTGTTTGTTTTGCGTTCTGCATTGTTGACTTTGTGAAGCACTTTGGGATTTTATCTGTGAAAAGTGCTATACAAATAAACCTTTACTTACTTACTTACAGTTAAGAACCATAAGGTTTTCTTGTTGAAGGACAATGGTTCTTTGCAAGAACATATGAGCGTACCGCTGCAAATGCACCAGGGCTGGTAATTTTACACTCTCCAGAAATGGTCTGTTCAGAAAGTGCGACTTGGAAACATCGGACACATTCAACCCAATCCCGGCTCACACACACTGGAAGCATTTAATGGCGTACTTGTTTTGCGTGAGATTGTCACTGCAACTCAGTTTTTGCAGCTTCGTAAACTAAACAGACATGTACCAACATACGTTAAGTAACATGCCGGCAACATTAAAACCTTTGAGACCTTTTTAAAATTACTTTCACCATCAACTTTTTTGCTAACCAACATCTTCTCCACATTTCAGATCATACCCGGCCCAGTTTGCGGTGATCTCTGTTCTTGGCATCCTCCTGAAACTTCTCCCACTCTTTCAGCATTTTGGGGTCAGGGAAGGAGATTCCATAGATCCTCTGGAGGGTTTCCATGTCTGCCTTTCCCTCCCAGTATGTAGATGAATTCTAGAACACCATAATAGGACTATGTTAGCTTTCATTATTCTTTTGGGTGCATTAAATCCCTTGAGAATAAAACATGAGGTAGCTCTGCTCTCGAAATGGGGACAAATGTGCTTACTGGCAAGCATTCAGGGCACAGACTACAAGGCTTGAAATCTTACCATGTTTAACCAACAATAAATCCACACAGACAACAACAAATAGTTTACATGATATTTTAAGACTCACCTTGTGGATCTTAAGTGCCTTGATTTTCCCAGTGTGCCTAACGTGGGGCCCCCGACACAAGTCAATTAAAGGGCCACACCTGAAATGCAGAAATATTATGGGTGTTGGATAGTTCTTAAAAATACAGAATACAAAAACCAGTTGCATTTAGGATAAAGCTAGCAAAACTCTATATTTTTGTCATACAACAAATCCCACAAAAAGAACAAAACCAAGTTAGTTCATCTTTCAATTTTTTGCAAATTCCTGTTTAAAGTACGGTCACAAATATATACTATTATTCTTAAAAAAACGAAAAGATTTGGCCTCAGTAGTTAAAAAAGTTGCTCAAACAGGAGTACTAAGTGTTTTCAGTTGTGTTTGGTGCGATTGTGAGGACCCCTGGCAGGCTGTGGATACACAAGCAATACTTATTACAATTGTTGGTTGATCGATTGTTGGTTTTGTTCTTGTCATGGATTTGCTTACAACTGAAAAAGAATGACAGATAATATCACCAAAAACGTTTACATGTACGGGCCCTGGACTCACCTGTAAACTGTGGTAGTGGGGGTGGTGACTTTCTCATTCAGAATGCGGCACTTAAACTTGTTGTACTACAAAGGACAAGAGGTGGTTTTAAAATCCTAGTACTTATGCAGTGTTCCCCACAGCTTTTGCCTCTTTTGTGCATGTGTGTGTTAATGCTTTAAGATACCTTGAACATTTCCAGCAGAGTTTCCTTCTTTATCTCCAGTCTTTCAAATGGCTGCTTCTCCTTTATGATTTTCTTGCACAAGTTCTCCAGACATGGAAAGTCATTGCTCGATACGCCCCTGTCCAAAACATTTGAGATAAACAAAACAGGGCCAGCAATAACCAATTACTTTCTCACTTAGCAATCTGCATCAATATGCAAACTGTCTCCTGTGCTAAATTTAGTCTGCTAGAGTTTTCAGAGGGCATTGTGGATGTGACCAGTCCTTTTGTTCACCAATGTAATTCTTTGACTTCCAGAAACTGATAACCTCTGCCAAGCATGTGTAAATACTTTAAAGTCCTTGGCTTTAGGGCTTGAGCAAAGTCAAAATATCCTTGCAAAACAAACCTCTAAGAATTCTATTAGCATAAAATGACTTCATTAAGGAGGTGGCAGAATTAATTAGACAGCAGTCCTCACATGCTCCTGTAGCCTGAAGCTGAGAGAATTGCATCTGTTTCAAGAAAAGGTCAAGTGAAAAAGGTGTTTACATGGAAGAAATGTTCAAATTTCTGAGGGTGTCTCAACATACTTTCAAAGCTTCACAAAACATTCTCTAGTTCTGTATGTCCAATAGATATACATCAATGATTCCAAACATTATGACCACCTCTGCCAAATATGCTGCTGGTCCCTCATGTTCCTTCAAAACAACCTCAAAATGCTGAGTTAGGGACTCCACAAAAGCTCTGAAGGTGCCCTGTGGTATCTGGCACAAAAACAGCAGCATATCCTTTGGAGCCTGTATGTTGCAAGGTGGAGCCACAGTGGAACAGACATCTTCCTGAATATCTCCCATCACCTTGTCACCAGGTTCATGGTTTGCCCCTCCTTGGACCACTGACCATGGGCACCTCAGGAGCCTTGCCATTTTGGAGATGCTCTGACAATGCTCTGTTATCAAGCCATAATGATTTGGCCCTTGTCAAAGTTGCTAAAGGCTTGACACCTGCTCATGTCTTTTGTATCCAACATGGTGACAGTACCGTCCAATACATCCCAGACTTTGACATGGATCTTTGTTACAAGCTCATCAGTCTTTTTCACATCATTTCTGTAATGCTTTGACTCATTATTGTACTTTCAGGCTTCTAGTCTTGTTTGCAAATATAGAAAGATGTCAATTAAAATCCACACCCAAGAAAAATGCAGCTAGGCAGCATCGGTGTCATTACAAGCCGCATGTTTTGTGTGTTACTGGTCTCGGTGAACCAGACTGACAGCTCCTAAGTTTTAAAGTATACACCAACAAAACACAGAGCTGACTAACACAACTAATTATACAGACAAATATGAACCCAAAGCCTGAGCAACTCACTCGTTGTTCTCCAGGAACATGTCGTAGTAGAAGCCGTTTTCGATGGGAGGACCGTAGCACAGGCAGCCACCATAAATTCTCTCCATGGCTTCACCCATTATATGGGCACTGGAGTGCCAGTAAACCTAAACAACATGCAAAATAAATATATAAATAAATGTATACACACACACACACATACACACACACACACATACACACACACACACATACACACACACACACATACACACACACACACATACACACACACACACACCAATCACCTATAACATTATGATCACCTGCCTAATACTGTGTGCACAGGAGTCAATGCAGCCGTAGCTGGCACTCGTTTCGCTCTGAGGCTCACAGTGCTTGTGTGAATCTGTTTGCTTCCATAGCTATACTGGCAGGAAGAGTATGATTTAGTGATAGAAATGTATTAAAGGAGTGAAAATTGTGTTCATGGAGACAGGTTAGAGATCATTTTTAGACAAATTCAACAGCCTCCTCACTCTTTTGAAAAAGATAAATGATATTTAAAGGTTTAATCTACAGTAGGTCAACATCATCAGTGAGCCCTGGGCACCCATGACCCTGTCGCTGGTTCATTGTCTGTCCTTCCTCAGACCACTTTTGGTAGGTACTAACCACTGCAGAGTGGGAACACCCAACAAGACCTGCAGTTTGAGAGATGCTCTGATCCAGTTGCCTAGCCATTGCCATTTGACCCTTGTGAAAGTCACTCAAATCCTTGTGCTTGCCTGTGTTTCCTGCTTCCAAACAACTTCAAGAACTGAATGTTCACTTGCTGCTGAATATACCCCACACACTGACATCTCCAATGGAGATAATTCCCTTTATGTTTATCACAGTAAGAACAAGATGTATGACTGTGCTGGGAAATCAAGATCATTGTCCTTCATGTCTATGAAGATACTGCAATCATTCACTGAAGAGCACAAAGTTAAAGCCTTTGAGTACATTACCTTCAGTACATCACTTCCCCAAATGCTGACAATACAAAAGATAGTTAAAATCTTCAAAACACAACAAAACCCACTGACAAAAAGGAACCATGGAAGGTTGACTTGGAATTGAAATGTCATACAATAAGTACTAAACAATGTCAACTGAAAGAAATTAACTAACTTTGTAAAAATAATGACACTGAAATTGTCATTAAGCATTTTATTTTAGGGACGCATCTCACTATTCTCTTCAAGAGCCCAGTTGCTGTCACTTTCAAGACTAGATGATTGCAGCATGGTTGTATATTCTGATTTGTCTTAATGTCTTTGTAGCACAGGCAATTGGCAGATCACAGAGCTTTGAGATTAATTACCGATTGTAAACCTTTCCTTCATTACTTTAACCTTGCATACTCTGGTTAGCCTGCTCTTACTATACTGTATATCAAAAAGGCTGAACAAACTCATTATGTTGCATACTGCCAAGTAGGCACCCGATTTGTTAAGATCTCTGAACAGTGAGAAAATCCAAAAAAAAAAAAAAAAACCAACTGATATTTTGATTTGATTTATTCTTTCAAGCATGTAAAAACAGTTGATATGACAACACACATACATATAATCCA